GCAAGATATATATATATATATATATATATATATTATATAAAATTAAGAAATGACAATGAGTAATTAAAGTTTTTGAAATTTTTAAAAATTAGTATTTTTTTAAGTTACCCTAATACTTATTTATGCTCACAATTTTTTAAATAAAAATTGACATAAAATCAAAATTATGAAATTCACTTGTTAATGTTGTTAAAATTATAACATAACAAAATGTGCAGACATTCTAAATTATTCAATTCTAATTGTTCTGAAAAGAAAGAATTATTTTTGCAACCTGGAAGTTATATTTTATTCAATTAGAGCAAATAGAGTATCCATTTATCACTGTTACACTTTCATAATATAGTGTTTCAATGGCACTTTTTGTACTTAGGATAGTAATTATACATAGTTGGGGACAGAAACAATATGATGTGTAGAACAAAGCATACAAATTATTTGAAGAATATTGAATATGCATATTCAAGTCGACATTCATATTAAATCAGAATATGTATGCTTTTATCACTGTTACACTTTCATAATATAGTAAATTAATTAAAATGTTCTGAAATGTGCATGGGGGACAAAGTACAATGATGACATTTTAACATAGTTTATTTTTTTTTTAAATATAAAATGTATCTGGTGCATATTTCTTTCACTCCAGGTCAGTATTTTAAGCAAAACATACCATTAAATAATAAAAATGAATATTTTAATGAGAAATATTGCTTAAGGATGCTAAAGTTAATAAATTGAAAAAATAACCTAATATAATTATATTAAGAAAGAAAAAAAAATACTTGAGTTAAAATGTTCACTAAAAGGTTGATTATTTCTACTAAAGTATTTTTTTGTCTCATTTAATGTTTATAATCAATTATTTTACAACTTAAATATAAAAGAAATATTTCAAATAAAATAAAAAAGCTGACAAATTATTTTATATTACCTAATGGAGCAACATAATAAAATTCTTCTGACACAGGTGCAATTTCCATTAATTCTTTTCTATTGAAATTTGTCTTAGCTTCATCATTTCGAAGATTTTCGTTTCTGAAAAAAATAGTGTTCAATAATTAATGCAAACTTAATATATATATATATATATACAGTCAAACCTCGTTAATTCGACACTCTCGGGACCTCTGAAAAACTGACGAATTAAGCGGAGTGACGAATAAACCGGAGTTGCATTGTTTTTCAAAAAATTTGGAAAATACCTATAAATTAACAATTATTACATACAGTAGCGAAATTTCAATTTCTTAAAATAAAAAAAACGTTAAAGAATTTGCATTAAAACAATTCAATTAAAACATAGCATCAGAAGAAAGACAAACAGTATGGTTTACATACTTGTCCGAATTCCGTTACCCCCTCGTAAGGTCAGAGAAAAGGAGCATTATTGCAACTCTTTCTGCAAGAGGTGATGGAAGGAAGGGTGAGACAAAAGGGCAGGGGAAAAACGCTTCCAGGGTCCGAATTCCAAGAACCAGTTGCCTACTGCGAATGGCAAAATTAGCCAAGTGGAAATTTCCGCAAAAGTTGACTGGAGAAAAGCAATTTCCCAGTGAAAACATTCTTTAAAGTGTCATTTTATCCGGAGTTCATAATTCCCCCATGACGTATTAAACGGAGTTTGCTAACACTGAATCCAATGCAAATCAATCGGGACTTGAAAATAACCGTCGAAATAACCGGAGTGACGAATTAAGCGAGTGTCAAATTATCGAGGTCCGACTGTATAAATATAATTTTTTTTTACTAATTTGACAATAACTATTGAAAAGAAGTTTACAGGATGGCCACTCAAATCAGCAAATTTCCCTGATTTTTCCAGGTTTTTCAGGAAAAAATTCTAAAATTTCCAGGTCAATGTGCTTTTTATCCCCTAATAAAGTGTAGGATGGATGCAAGAAAAGTGTCAATACATTATAATTTTTTTTTTAAATGTTATTTTATCATCTTTGACTCAGGGGATAGAGTGTTAGCCAGGTCACCTCATTTAAGAAACCATTAGAGTTTCATGTGGCATTTTAGTTTAACAGGGTTATAATGGACCAAATTTTTATGCAAGCATAAGTTGATGCTATTTCAACTGTTCGGCAATAAATTTCTGTCTTAAAGTGGGTATACCAGATGGTAAAATAATTTTCATTAAGAAAATTAGTAAATAATTTAAATTAGTAAAATGAAGAAAAATAAAAGAAAAAATTCCAGCTTTTCATGCCGAGAAAAAAAAGATTTTCTTTCCAGCTTTTCTTACCCAGAGAAAAAATTCCAGGTTTTTATCCAAATTTCCCTGATTTTTCCAGTATAAAAAAAAATCCCCTGATAATTCCAGGTGGGTGGCCACCCTGGTTAGGGGAAACAGAATTCAAATTCGTAATAGCTACAGTGAATGCATAATCAAATTTATTTCAACTAAATAGTTTAGAAATAAGATAAACCAGGAATATTTTTATGTAGGTACTCCTGCCAAAATAATCACCAAGTTTCGGGGACTACCAGGCAATGGTCTGCAAGGAAAAGAATTACAAAATCTACAAAAATAAATAAATAAATCACATAAGGGGACTAACTTGAAGGACTTATAGCCACCTTCAGACAAACCTCAACATTTTCTTAATTGTTTACTTTAACTACAATTGCTAAGTGGCAATTGTAGTTGGCACTAACAGAAGATGACAGGAAAATATCTCCAGTGAACTAATGATAAAATATTTAAAATGCTTTATTAAAGAAAAATTATGTATATAAACCTGTCATATACTGTATTAATCAGTGGTTCAACAGAATCTGTGTTGACTTCCATTAAATTATCAGCGAACTGTATTGATTTCTCAAGCCTCTGAATGCCAGCAGCAGTTGAGAAGTCCACCAATGCCAATCTCTCCAAGCTTTCTACAGTTTCTTTACTAACTGAGTGCTAAAAGTATATAATTTTTAAATAAGACATGGAGATTTTGTAACTACTAATTTATATAAGCCTCACTTTTTTGTCTTTACATTACAATATTTGTATATATTTCCATTTCGTGATCTGTCACAGCAATAAAAAAAAAGCTTGTAGAGGTTTCCTCATGTTTGGCTAAGAGATTCCATGATGTTTTTTAACAGCTGCTCTGAAGCTGCTAGGATTTGGCGATTATTCTGCCACAGATCACGATACGGAAGTCTTCCCTAATATTTCTAAGCAGATTTTGTAGTGAACAACTTTGCAGAACAATATAAAAGGAAACTTTTTTTTTAACATGATTCCGTTAAAACAAGTTTTAATGATAAAAACTTGTAATGAATATTCAAAGATAATAAATAATTGTTTCGAAAAAATTTAGAATTTAAAAGTGCAATCGAAAACTAGAGTTAACGCGAACAAGTGAAATCATACGTTCAAGATTAGAAATTTTGCATAGGACATTAGACAAAATATTTATTAATGAATTATAAAGGTAGGTAGAATTATAATTTTTACCAAAACTGAGTTTCCTGAGAATTTTCTAGTAGAAAATTTAAATAAATGTTTTTTACACAAACTAATAAGAGAATAATTCATTTTGAATATTCTTTATGTTTACACTGCAGAGCTACAGTGGGAGTTACAGTTAAAATTTTAACAAGCAAACCACAGTTAAGCTTCCTTACAAAATTTTAAAATTATTGGCTCAATGAAAAAACATCTCAACTTTACACCGATATTAATGGTTTATTTGTTGACAAAAGAAATAACAGCACAAAGGATGCTGATAAAGTTTTCGAAACGAAAGTGACAGCGAATTAAATGTGCATGTAGTACAAAACAATACTATATCTTATATTTTCAATCATCATTTCATGAAAATTATACAAAATGGATATATTGTGGAAGAAAGCTACACTACCCAGCATTGAAGATTTTGCAAAGGATATAATCGTTAAAAAGAACTTAACCACTGAGTTAAGTAAAGCTATCCGGAATGTACAAGAAGAAAATGTTGGAAAATCAATCATCACCGATTACGAATCGAGTAATATCTTTTGCAATGTTTTGGAAGCAATATTGATCCACGGGTTGAAAGACAAGCTAAGTAACAAAATGTCATCTGTATTTAGTAGTTCACCTGACAGAATGCCAGAACCCCAATTTTGGTCTGTAGTTTCTCGATACAGTCACAGTAATGTTATCTCAGAAATAAAGACTTTTAGTAATATCACTACGGACATCGGTCGCGGCCGAGCTTGGTTGCGTGCATCGTTAAATGATGGTCTAATTCTAAGTTATATGAGCACAATGACTACTGATGTATCAAGTTTGCAAAAGTTTTATATCACTACAGCATTTTTGAGAGACAAAGAACAATCAGACATAATGAAACAGCTTTTAGAAGGAATCAGCGTATTCAGTTTTGAGTTATCTTGTAATGACAGTGCTTTAAATGTATGGAACAGTTTGCCTCTTACTTTGTCTAATTTATGGACACCCCCTGTTACTCCTCAACCTGTTATGCCAGCTGTTGATGTTATAGACTTTTTTACTGATCCAAAAAATCAAGCCAAAGCTGCAACTAAAAGTGATCAAAACAGTCCTAGAATTAAAAAATCATCAGTAATTGAAACTCAAACTGATATGCCATCATCTTCTTGTGGGGATCCTTCTAATGATTCTGATCATTTGAATCAGTCAGACCAAAATATCATTACTCATAATGTATTAAGTAGTGATATAGATGATGCAATTGCGACAAGAGTTAATGAGATGAGCGCTGTTCAAGGTGCGACTGTTAATCACTCTGATGATGCAGCAACTGTAGATGCGTTCCATTTAGAGGAAACCAGTTCAAAGATCTCATCGTCAGATTCTGTTCCTGATTTTGGTCTGGAAATAGTTGATAGTGATATGGAGTTCACTCATATTGGTTTAACCGGAAATAGATTGAGTTCAAAATGTGGATGGTCTTCGGCTTTTGAAGAACCAACAACCCCAACCTCACCAGAACAAGACCAGAGCTATGATTCATTGCTGCAGAGTTATAATAAAAATCTGAATAAAGTTGTAATTGGAACGCCTGAATTATCAGATACTTTTTCTTCCATAATGGGAAAGAATGAAGATGATTATTGTGTAAATTTAATTTATATATTCTTAAATTGCTATGAAGATAGGTTTGTTTGTCTGTCTACAATTATTTATTAAAATACTATCTTAAGTGAACATGTAACTTGCTTCGTCTGCAGTATCGCAAAAATCTAGACTACCTGGAAGATTTGGACAGCCCATATCCAGGAAATTCAAAATTGCCAATTTTAAATTATTTATAATTTAATAAGGATGTCCAAGTTACATGATCTAAATTATAAAAAAAAGGTTGGGGGGGTTAGATTCGATCGTGAATTCATGTGGATTTTTGCTCTTTATTTCTGTATATATGCAATTTTAAAAAATTGCTTATGATTTTTAAATTCACGATATTTTAATGTATCATGATATATAAATATTCAGTCTCACTTCTATTTTACTATGCTATCACTTCGTGATGATTTTATTCTCATCGTGTAGTCTTATTGCTTGTTTTTTTTTCTGGCACTTATTATGATGCATTTTGTCGTGGTTTTTAAAATCTCAATATTTTTAATTGCATATTATTGCAACAACAGCAAAATTTTGAACCACGCATTTAATTTTTGTTGCTTGATTTTTTTTTCTGGAAGTTATCACGCTGCATTTTTTCTTGGATTTTAAAATCTCAATATTTTTAATAACATATTATTGCAACAGTAAAATTTTGAACCACGCATTTAAATAATCCCTCTTTGATTTGCTAGTTTTCCTAAAATCAATTATTACGATACCAAGTAAAATGACATGAATTTTGAATTGGATATTTAAGTCATTATTTTTAGTATATTGCTCCATTGGTGAGGATTTCATTATTATTAGTTTCCGCTTTCTTATTGATAGTTTTTTTTTCGTAAATTATTAAGTAGTAAATAATTTATGTCTAATTTCAATTTCTCACAGTATTATTCCCAGTAAAAGCCATTTTTTAGAAAAATGACTGTGTTTTTTTTTTTTTTTTTTTTTTAAGTAGAATCAGCTTTTAAGCTGGACTTGGTTAAAGTTGTGCTTTCAACCTTGCATGCCCAATTGCTATGGATATTTAAAAATCTCAATAATTTTAATGGTACAATAATATAACTTTTTGCATGTCAGATTCATTAGAATTTTGTTCTAAATATGTATAGTTTTTTTTTAATACTCCTTCAACAGTTATTGCTTTGGAATTCCTCCCAGTTTTTATTTTAAAATCGTACTTTTGAATTAAAATTGATTTAGCTAGATTTTTTTTCTCATCATGAGTTAAGAAAATAAGTTTTTCAAGTATATAGAAGTAGTTTTGAAAAATTTAAAAAAAAATTTCCAAAATGCGTCATAAGGCATAAAGGAAAACGAAAATAAGGCTGCCAAGACATTGCACAAAAATTAATGTGTCAGATTTAATGGGAAAAATAATTTGATCCACAAGTTGATAAATTGGTAGTTATCAAAGCAAAAAGTAGATAAATTGTTAAAAGTTGATTACAGCAAAAAGTTGATAACGAAGAGTTTTGACCTTTTTACATCAACTATCTCATTTTTTTTCTTTTATTAGCCTTTTTTAGTTTTGAACCACTCAATTTATTTATGATATTCTAATTTTAAACTATAAAAAAATTACAATAAACTATTTTGGCTGCTAATAGTTGTGCTAACTATACTATAGTGCATTATTAAGTTTGGAAACGAATTGAAATTGTGTGGCAATAAATGAATTAATGCTTACCTATTGCTAATTGCAATAATTTTAGTTTTGTTAACTATATATTTTTTATTAATTTGTTTTATTTGCACTCTATATTTAATTAATAACAATATATTTTAATAGTTAATGAAACTGATTTAACTAACAGAATAATATTGCAGTTAGGTCTTTTTAACTCAATATGTTATTATAATGAATCAAAAATAAAAAAGAAGTATAAGTAAAATTTAATCTTATTACTCTGCAATGTTGCCAAATTCTTGATAGCCTACTCAATGCCACGTACTGTAAAAATTTGTATAGATTTTTTATCTCTTTCTTTTAAAAAAAAAAAATATATTTTTTCAATTATTTACTTTAGTTGTATTATCACTATTNAGTTTTTCAAGTATATAGAAGTAGTTTCGAAAAATCTAAAAAAAAATTTCTAAAATATGTCATAAGGCATAATGGAAAACGAAAATAAGGCTGCCAAGACATTGCACGAAAATTAATGTGTCAGATTTAATGGGAAAAATAATTTGATCCACAAGTTGATAAATTGGTAGATTTATCGAAGCAAAAAGTAGATAAATTGTTAAAAGTTGATTATAGCAAAAAGTGTTGACCTTTTTACATCAATTATCTCATTTTTTTTCTTTTATTAGCCTTTTTTACTTTTGAACCACTCAATTTATTTATGATATTCTAATTTTAAACTATAAAAAAAATTGCAATGAACTATATTGGCTGCTAATAGTTGTGCTAACTATACTATGATGCATTAGTAAGTTTGAAAACGAATTGAAATTGTGCAGCAATAAATTAAATTAATGCTTACCTATTGCTAAATGTAATAATTTTAGTTTTGTTAACTATATAATATGTTATTATAATGAATCAAAAATAAAAAAGAAATATAAGTAAAATTTAATGTTATTACTCTGCTATGTTGCCAAAATCTTGATAGCCACATACCGTAAAAATTTGTTTACATTTTTCATTTCTTTCTAAAAAAAAAAGTATATATTTTTCAATTATTTACTTTAATTGTATTATCACTATTTTTAATTATTTTTCTACGTGTCTACAATATTTCATATATTTGTTTGCTTAATGTTTTTCATTGTCTTGCATTTTAGTTTTGTGAATTTTATTTACATTAATTCTTAATTATTTTTTACTTTGCATGCAGTTTCTTTCTTAGAATTTGCTTTTTATTATTTTTGCTTTGCTTGTATCTTTCATTTATTGTTTGTGTTTAGATGTTTTTAAAATTTTTCAGTTATGCATTGGGTTTTTTTTTTTTAATTAATAATTTAATTTAGTATGTGAAGTAGTTTTTATATTTAATATAAAGAAGTTTTTATGACATTTAATAATTCATATATTTTTGTGATTTTTTCTGTTCTCATAGTATGCTCTTGATAATTCAAGATTGTTTCAAACTCAAATAATGCATGTTTTATAGTTTAAAATGAATAATAGTCTTAAAAAATATTATTTTTTTTGAACTTGAACATATTCTAGTCATATTTGAAGAATTACAATCATTAGTTACAAACAAATTATGTTTACAAATTGTAGCACAATTATGTTTACAGTATTTTTTGCCATCAACATGTAACTATTCTTCTCCATACCTCGATCCATCTCTAGTAATTGAAACTATCTAGTTATTGTAACTATTCTGAATACTTTATTCGTAATTTATTTCATAGACTCTTAAATATCCCGAAAATGTATTTTAAAAAAAAGGATTCATCTAGGCAACAAGAAGTATATATTAGTTACGATATCTTAGTAATAATTAAAAAGCCTGTATTTGGATCTAAACATCCGATACTTTAAATAATTTAAATGACAGTTAATTTGAAAAAGGTGTCCTTATTTTAAATAAAATCTGTTTAACAACTATTTTATCTTTCAAAGTCCTGTATGATATTGTAGGTACTAAAAGTTGGAACTTAGTTTTTAGAATTTTTTTTTTCATACATAAAACTATATTATTTGCAACTAAAAATTAAACATTTTCTTACTCTCCTTAGATTAAGTAGAACTCAGATTAACAGAAATAAAATGCATTCAATATTTTTTATGTGTTTATTTCTCCCCTTTTTTATTAGTGTAATTATATTGATACAAAAATAAATTCTTGATCTCTCACTTTATATCTAATATTTTCCATACCTTGAATAAGATTTTTATATCTTTTAAGTTATTTTCTTGCATCTAAAATGAGATAGTTTTATCTTTATATTAAACTTACCTAAAACATGATTTACAGTTATTGTTGTTTCTTGATCTCATTATAAAATATTGTATTGAATAATCTCATGTAAAGAAAAGGAAAATTTATTTTATGTGTATTTACTTATTTTTTAAGACTACTTGAATAAGAATTAATATTTTTAGTATGGACTAAAAAAAATTTTTAAAAGAATTTTATTGATAATTATAGTTTCTAAAGAATTTTTTTTTTAAGAAAATGTTTTGTATCTCTTTTTAATTTAGTGTCTGCTTGTCACTTTATTCTTTTATTGAGATATGATACATTTGCATAATTTACTGATTTCTTAAATTTTTATATTTTCACTACAAAAAAAATTTTTAGAGAAACTATTTCTGATTATTTCAAGTAACTTTTGTTGTAAACAATTTTTCAAATATTTGTTTACTATTAAAAATGATATGAATGCGTCATATTTATTTCAACTGTATGATATTAATGATGCACTTTAGTAATCATTGTCTGAAATGTTAAAATAGACTTTTTTAAAATATTTTTTAGGAGTTTTCTGAAGAAACTAAATCTCCTGATTTGGATTTTGAGATTGTTCCTAAATACCTTTCCTCTGAACATGCTGATGAAGAAACTAAGTTACTAATATCTATTTTAGGAAAAGTATGCCCGGAACAGGGTCTTGACACTCAAAATTTTCAATGTTACTCTTGTGGAAGGCAAATTGGCTTTATTTATGGCAAAGCAAGGCTTTGCTATTATGATGGATATAATTATTGCTATGATTGCCATGATAATGAAGAAGAGTATGTTCCCGCCCGCATGATCCATAATTGGGATTTCAAGCAGTACCCTGTGTCTAAAAGAGCAAAAGTTTTTTTGTCAAGAATAGTCAAAGATCCTATGTTAGACATAAAAGAACTGAATCCTGTGATATATACAGCAGTTGAAGAAATGGCACAAATGCAGCTGTTAAGAACTCAACTTACTTTTTTGCGATCCTACATCTTCACTTGCAAACAGTCAATCGCTGAAGATCTGCGTATGCAACTGTGGCCTCGAGAATATCTGTACGAACATGTGCACTTATATGCGATAGACGACATTTTAGATATCCAATCTGGTGCTCTTGCACAAACTCTTCAGAAGGTTATAGCATTTGCAAAGAAGCATGTTTTAGCTTGTCAGTTGTGTCTTTTAAAAGGGTTTATTTGTGAGGTTTGTAAAAATTTGAAACCAATTTATCCATTTGATGTTGATACCACCTATCATTGTGATAAATGCCTTGCTGTTTACCATGCTGTTTGCATGGATGCTAATAAATATTGTCCTAAGTGTATCCGTCAGATGAAAAGAAGACAGTTGTTAGATTCTGCTATCGCTGACTAAAATTATTTAGTTATTCTTTCTTTTTTTTAATCTGTGAGGTGTTCTAAACTAATATGTCAGTTTTCAGGCCATTGAAAACTTTCTAATATAATTAAAGTGTTCCTTATTTTTTTTTATGTCGTCTCAACTGCAAGACATCATAAATTTTAAAAAAATTCTTTTAAATAGTATAATCAAATTTTGATTTAAAAAATCAGGTAAAAATTTTGTTTTTATGATAGTTTATTTTCTGTTCATATCTGGTAACAATAAATTAGTTTTGATACATATGTTCATCAAATAAATATAAAATTGTTACAGATCCTTATGTAGTCTTTTACATTGCAGTAATTGATTAGCTCAACAATTTTAAAGTGAAAGAACTTAAAAAAATTTATATGTTTGTTTGTTTTTTTCCCTTCTGTCAATTTGTAGTTTGTTAGCATACCTCTATATTGACACATGAAAATATTTGTTGCAAATAAAAAAAAATAATACACTCTAAATGAAATAGTTATGATGATAGGTACAAATCCCAATATTGATAGTTCTCAATTAATTGATATTCAAACCATGTGTCAGTTTTAAACCAAATTATTTTGTTTTTAAGTGTTATGTGTTTATATTATCATTTATGTAATGAAAATATTGCAACTTTAAATGTGCTGAAATTATTTTAATTTTTTACTTATAAATTAAGATCTGCATCTTATTTTCTTAATGATAGGTATCTATAAATAATGAGAATTATATATAGCACGAAAAATAAATCTAATGCATTATCCTCCCCCCCCCTCTATGGTTTTTATATTAACTACATTACATTTCGGTTTCATTTTAGTGACTTATATTTTTATTATTTATAAATTATACATTCTTCTGATTAGAATATTACTTAAAATATACAATTTGATAAATGATAATAATCAGTGTGAATTAAAAAATTGGAGATAAACTAATATTTATTTTGTTACTAATATTTATTCCTTAGGAATTATGTTAACGAATTCTGAATATAAAGATTTATTATTTCTTTAGCCTTTTCTTTTCCAGGTACTATGAGAGAGGTTTATACCAAATTATATAAGAATATTTTATAATATTTATTTCAATTTCATTCTTTATCAATTTTCATTATTTGCTATTAAAACTAAACTGATAGTAGAGAATTTCAGATAATTTAAAATATTTTTGAAATGTTTCTACTAAATTTTCTATGTCATTTTGATTTTCTTTTCTCTCAAAGACTCTTAAACTCACGTATTTCAAACTTCATAGAAAATTTTTATGATATACACTTCAATTTGAATTTTGTTTAGTCTCTTAAAAATTAGTAACATTAATTTGTAGCATTCATACAGCAGTATTTATGAATCAATTTATTTAATATAGAATGCTTGATAAAATATACAAAATTTCTGATTTATTAAAATATTTTATTAATAAAATTAACTATTTTAATATTTAAGAAATCTTAACTTAAAAGTGTATTGTAAGCGTACTCTTGTATCAACCTTTATTAGACTTATGTTTCTAAAAATTTAAATTAATTTTATATTATATGTATTTAAATCTGGTTTATGATCAATTTAAAATTAAATATATTAAATTAGCAAAATTATAATTCCACCCTTCCCCTAAAATCAAAATCAAAAGGCAAACATTTTTATTCAAGAATTTTCATTATTGTTGAACTGTATTAAAAGATATTGAGCAACGAATATTCCTTAGCAACTCAAGATCTTCACTTACTTTATACATGAAGCTCTTGTATTTTCTTCAACGTCAATGAAAATTTTTCTTTTATAATTTCTCTGCTTATAGTGCACTTTTATTGCAGGTTAACGAAAAGCTTAATTTTTTTGGCATTTTATTTTTGTAAAAATTAGTGTAAAAATTTTTTTTTAATGTTTTATAATTTTTTCTTTAAAAAAAGGTTGTCAAAACTTTTTGTCCAAGATCCCAAGAAAAATTCTAGGATGTTTTAACACCTATAGAAAATTTTTATAAAATTCCAAGTACCTACATGAATGGTGTGTGTTATTAGTTGTGAATATCTGAAGATGGAGATTAAAAATTGGTTACTATATACGTTTTTTCAGACTCTCAAATTTAGTTTTGTCAGACACTCTCCTCAGTTTCATCCTATAATTTTATTTATATAATTTTCTTCCTATAATCTTTTATAAGTACATTTTATTAAAAACATTTCAGCAAGTGTTGCATTGCACAAAATTCAAGTAATCATATGTATGTTCATCACTAAAAGTTTAGTTTTATAATTTCTGTGATAGACTTTAGAAATCATTTTTAAAGAAAATATTCAAAAATTATAACAATTTTCATACAATCATATTTCTTTTTCATGTCGAGATCTAGTCAAATTCAATCCTTTTTTTTTAAAAAAAAAGAGAGTTGTAAATAATATTTTAATTAACAAATCATTATAGATTTCTAAAACTATCTAGTACAAATTATCCTGTATCTAACTAGGTACAAATTATCCTGTATCTCACGGTCTTTGCAAATTATCCTGTAGGTCACGGGTTTGTGCACATAGTATGAGTTTAAGCCTAAAATAAAGTAATAATTGTTTTCATTTATCATTTAAGTCACCATAGAATAAATAAAGATATTTATATATTATTTTTATTAATTTTTGAATAAAAATTATGGGGAAAAATATATTTTTCCATAATCACTATTAGAAATTGTATCATAAGTATTATCTATTCATATTTTTGCATGTGTAGTTAAATGGCTTGTGTTAGATCTGCTTTTATTTAAAAGTTTTCTTCAAATATATTCTTGAAACATTTATTTTATACTGTAAAAATATCTAATCCTGAATGTTAATGAATTATTTGCAAGACAGTATAAAATAAAAGTTTTGTTGATCCAGTACTTTTCAGTCATTGAAAAATTAAACTAGATACTATTTAATCAAAGTTAATTTTTTAAGTTAATTCAATAATCAGTGTCAGATTAATAATTATAAATGTCTAATTGTGATAAAGATTTGAAGAAATTAGTACTTTTTCTTGGTCAGTATAAAGACATATAATGAGGAAATGAATAAATAAAAAATAATTATTTCATTCCTTAGGATTTCAAAAGCAATATTATACAAAAATAATAAATGCTAATACATTTTCTAACTACTCCTACCCTCTGCTAATTTAATTTTATATTGTAAATACGTTTATTTCGAGTAGTTAAAATATTTGATCAATTTAGTCAGTTTCTTTTACTTTTTTTTTGGAACCTGTATGTATATATATAGTCTTTTTATTATTTGTTTTAAAGAAAACTAAAATAACAAGTGTTACAGAACTATTAAAAATGTTAATTAAGGTGCTCTTAGTATGTGACTTAAATAAAAATTATGTGACAAATGCACCATTTGAAGATTTTTATCTTGAAAGCAATATTTTTAATTAACATTTCTAAAAAAATATTATTTTGTTGTTCTTTCCTTCTGTGCTCTGGATGCATAGATTTAATTTGTATTCTATTTTTAAAGATTTTGGTTGTAAATAAAATATATTTAAAAAAATTTTTAATTTATTTTCTAATATAGTCATGCAATTTATAAAGACATTTTTATACCATTTATGTATTTTACATTATGATCATAGTAAAAATATATTTTGTAATATTGTTGAGCAAATTTACATAAGCCTATTGTGCAACTTTAATCTAAATGAAATATGGTAAGCTATAAGTTTAGCAGTTAACATTTCAAAAACTAGGAACAAATTTTTGTCGTGAATATTATTGTACTTATTATACCTAATAATTTAAAACCAAAACCAACTAAATTTAATCTGTACAAAAATTTAGACTCCAACACATAATTTGTTACAAATTAAAATATTTGTTTTCTTTTGAAAATGTTTTATTAAAAGTAGGTATCTTAAAATCAACCAAGAATTAGATTCTAAATTTTTTGTAGCTTTATTCTATTAAAATGTTTGTAAAATAATTTTATTTCATTTATTTATTTGTCACTCAAGAAATAATTTTTTTTAAATGACCGTGATTTAATTTTATTGGTTATGTAATTAGTTCTTATTCTGTGATATCATACCTAAATTAGTTGATCAAGTACGTAATGAGACTGCTTTAATATATCTATATATTTTAATAAAACGTTAGTCATACGACCTAATTTAATGTGATCAAGTTTTATATGCTAATGCAAACAGAAAAGGGATTCCTAAAAGTTGTGACTGGATTTTCTTGTAAAAGTTTTTTTAATGCAAGTTTAACTAAGTAAAAAATTTTTTACATAATTAAATTATTTCAATAACGCAACTAATTTTTTTTATTGAATCTGAAAATTGTCTTGTAATTTTTATCAAAAAAAATTAATCAAATTCACTTAACCAACTTTCTGAGGCATTTGTGCCAAAAATTCGCATTTTTCTCTAGAAACTTATATTTTTGTCGAAAAATTAGTCTATAAATAATTTCTCCTGTTAAATTAATATTTGTGGCAAAAAAAAAATTAAAAAGGTACAGGGGACAAGATCACCTTGAGCTTTTTTTTATATTAAATAATTGATGTAAAGGAATTGTTCTCTTTCTAATGTTTTAATTATTGTTTCTATGATCCTTTTTACAATCTTCATTTATTTTATTTTTATAGCATCTGCTGTGGTCTTCCTGAAAAATATGTGTGGCGGAGCATAATGGTTATGCATATGAGATCTGTTATATAAGAAATATCAGTGCATGTCTTCAAGAGCCTACGTCAGCCGGTTCAATTTATATTAAATTCTTCATGGTTAAACTATTTCATTTGTTTATTTTTTTATTGGCTCATATATGAATATATGTCAAAATTCTTCCAGATTGATCAGACATTTCCATGATCCTTTAAACTTTGAGAGAAGAGGAGCATGTTAAGTTATATATTTTTTTAGCCTCCTTCCCCCCAGAAAAAACCATTTACACAAAGTTTTAAAGTAGGCTTATCAAATCATTCTTTTGGCATCATGAGTTTGAACAAATCTCAGCAAATTAACACCATTCTTGAAGTCGAGAACTTACAGAAATGAAGGGATAATAACCGTGCGATTTAAAGAGCCCCTCATCTCTTTGAATATTTATATGACCGAGAGTTTTGATTTTGTGTCTACGTATGAACGAAAGGCCACTGAAAAAAACAGGATTTCTTACCTTAGTGAGGCCTTGTGTAAATGGAAACTTATAGTGTAAAAAATAAAACAAAGTTATTTATTTATTATTACTATCTATTTATTTATAATTTGCCTTTTCAGTAAATTACAGTTTTGAATTTATGACTCACCCGAGCATGTTCTAAAAAATGAAAAATGGATTTTTAAAAGTCTGCCTAACATGTTCTTGCATTAAATTCTTCCCTGACATGTACTCATTGAAAATAAATAGATATGGAATATTACTAGCAAATGGAAGATATGTGGAAGAATAAATAGTGTATATTCTTTTTCTTTCACTGACGAAATTTTCCTTACTTATTTATGAGTTTTTCTGTAATTTATTTACAAGAAAGGTTGAGTGCCATTTTGGGAAAAGTTTTTAGACACACAATACAATGAAATTTCATAAAATTAATTAGCCTGCTTAAATTTATCAGTTTACAATTTCTTCCAATTAAATAATAGCCTCATGCACTCATATTGCACGTTCATTGATCATATGTAATATATATCATTGAATGTCATGTATGAACTTACAGCCTCCCAAAGATTTTTGCTCACATAAATACAAAACATTTGTTGAAATGCTATTTTCTTCAACTTACGGTGTGATATTTAACATTGAGTATCCTATATGATTTTGTAATGTTCGAATTAGATTTGCACACATAAATTTTAATAGATTTAAATGTTAATGTTTTATTTATACTTGTAGTTCAACAGTATATAATTGCATTTGGACAATAGTATATTGATTAGATCTTTCTCACAGGTTTTGCTCCCCATTTTATTATGTTGAAGAAAAGTACTGGAAATAGCGGCAGAAACTGTTGTGTTCCGCAGTGTCATTCAAGAGCAACTCAGGATGGGGTTAGTTTCCATCGCTTTCCAGATGATAGCCTGAGAGTTATGAAATGGAAAAAAAATCTTCGAATTGGGAAAGAGGTGACAAAGAATATGTTGGTCTGTTCAAAGCATTTTAAGGATGATGATTATATAAACCCTGGTAAGTAACTTAATGTTTAACATGTTCTTTTAAAGAACATTTAGTGAATTTTGCACTTCTTTTAATTTCGTGTGGTTTTGCAAAGTATTATTTAAATTGTTTATGGGTACGTAAGTGCAGTAAAATTTTAAAGTAAAGCCAATTTAAATTTTTCTATTCATGAGTCTTATTTTACTAAAAACAATTATACCCTCAAGTAAAAGAAGAAAAAAAAACGTCATTTTAACTATTTGATAAAAAAAAAAAAATTAAAAAAATTCTATAAATGACATATTTTCTATTTTTTTTCTTCCTAATTTTCATTTATTAACTTTTGTCTTTGAATGGATTAAAATGTAGCAAGATAGATTTAAATAGCAAAATATTCTGTAGCAATACTAATACGGCTAATTTTGATATATTTCTTACAGAAAATATGTATAGATTGCATTTATTTATTCAATTTGTGCTTTAATTTATTGATACAATTTGTGTTACTATATGAAATGGAACATTAGCTTTAAACTCATTATTCAATTATAAATTCTGTACTTTCTATAAAATATCTCAGAAATAAGTTTTGTCATGCTTACACAAAAATAGTCAATTTTTATATTACTTAACCTTTTTTCAAGAAAAACACTCTATCTTTACTTTGATTGATTGTATTAAATAAATAAAAATGTGATTCTCAGCAAAAACATTGAACTTTTTAAATTTTCTAATATATGAAAGAAAATTTATATTTACAAGGTTTTTAAAGACTACACAATTGATTAGTTATAATAGATTGCTACGAATTTGAAATCTTTTAAAAGTGGAGAAGATCACTCTTATAGTTAAATCAGTTTTATAATTAATGAATTAAAATTTTCTATTGGCACTATTAATATATATATCTATCATGACAGAATTTTTTATTATTATTATTAATAATAGTTATTATGGTGAAAAGTGACGACCATAACTAATTTATTAAAACGTTTGTTAACAAATACAGAATAGAACACATAACAATTAACACAAAGGAAAAGGTCGTCTGTCTCACAAGCCTTCAATCACATTTGCTGTGCAGGAAAAGCATCAATCTGTAATAGCTGTAGTTAATGGATTAAGAGGTGTGCAATGGGATGCATAATGAGGTGCTCACATTCAGTAGAAAGTACACTTCCTACATTATTATTATTATCATTTCTTCTTATCTGCTAGTTTTTTTTTTTTTTTTTTTTCAAAAACAAATGTAGTAAACATTGCCAATTTAAATCTATTATACCTACAATGGAATACTCTCCTATGTTCTGGTAATTCGTTTTTCAAACAAGTTATATGCTTCATAGCCGTAGAAAAATTTCATAAACTAGTCATAACACTTTTGCATTGCTTGAGAAAAGTTTTCCTAAACAGGAAATTATTCGAGTTTTTCCTGTTCACCTGAAACAATTCCCTAGTTGCATACTTTCATTTTAATTTTAGAACCCATGGATAATTGTACTTATTAGTATAATTTTACTTGTAAAAATAATTTTACTACTTTAAAAGAAACATTGACAAAAGTGCTACTATAAAAAGAAATGGATTTTTGAATCATGATTGGGAAGTGGAGCCCTAAAATGTTTTTTTAAAAAAAAAAAGTAGTAACAGTATATATGAATAAATAGAATTGATTGAATTAATTTTTCTAATGTTTGTTTGTGTTTTCTTTAGGTCATCCTGTACAAAAACCGAGGCTGAAGAAATATGCTGTACCAACTCAAAATATTCCATTCTAATAAAAATGTTATCTTGATCATGCATAAAATATTTGTTTTTTCTTTTCCTGATATCAATAAAACATAAAATAAAAAATTCAAATTATTTACTTTTTTTGTGTGTTTCCAGGTTTTAAATGCTTACTGTATTCTCAAAAGGTTGAAAAAATTGTTTTTTGGGGGGATTACAATAATTTAATGCTTTGTATAAATATAAATAGTATTCCATTTCTATGTTACTTAAGGCCTTAGTCTAGTTAATTGTATCGAATATTTATCATGTGTCATGAGAAAAGAAATGCATTTCTCATAAAAATCAAAAAATTTTATGGGATATTGCAACATTGATAATACATT